TCTAACGGGCCAAGGCGGTCAGCAGCATGTCCTCTCGCGAGGCAAGGAGGCTGTCGTGCGCGCTGATCCGTATGATCCCCTTTCTGCTGCTTCTCCTGCCCGCTCGCCCCGTCCGCCCCCCCGGCGGCACCTGAGCGCCCTCACCGCGCGGGACAACGCGGCCAACCTCCTTCCGGCCGCCACGAGCGCGCACGCGTCCCTGTTCGGCCACCTCGCTGAAAGTCATGCCATAAATCCCCATCATCTCGGTCACTCCCTCCGCTCGCAGCAGGTGACGGGCGGGAAGAGTCTCGGAGGTACCCAGCACGCGGGCCAGTCGCGCATCACGATGGTGACGCGCCCCCAGGGAGTCCAACCTGGTCTCGGTCTCACAAAAATGAACACTAGAGAATTTCAGAGTCCTCCTCACGGCCGCATGAGGCAGCCGCAACGATCAGAGGCTGAGGCGGGAGCCGATGATCCCGGTCAACACGCACTAAATCTCTTCCTTGGAAATATTCAAGAGGCGGGGCTGAGGAGCACAAACTTTCAAAGCGGCCGCAAAGAGAGTGGCGAATTTAAACCTGACATTGCGCACAACAGACGAGAGCATGGCGTGGAAGCTTTCGGGGAAAATCCTAGCAAGGGAAGAGCGGAGCCTCCGAAAATTAGAATTTCCTTCTTGCGACAATCTGACAGTTTAAATCCATTAAGCTTTACTCGCCAGCCCTCAGGGTCTCTTTCGAGCGGAGGAAGGCCCGAGGCGCTCACTTCTACGTCTCTGGCAAATGTGCATCACCGAAACGTTACTTACGTCGACCTGTCATCCCACACTGATGCGCCGCGGAGTCCGGCAGCACAGGGACATTCCACGCCCCCCGCCCCGACCTACGAGGCCGGCGGACCAGTGAGTCCTGCACAGCTGCTCCTGCAAACCCTCGACGCGCGGCCCATTGCCCCCGGCCGCCCTCCGTCGAGTGTGATAGCCCGGCCTTTGCCTATCAATCCAGAAGAGCTTCTGGGCTCCACGGTAGCTCCTCCAGTGACGCTGTCCTTTCTTAGGAACACGACAGACGCTAGTAAGGATCAGAAGGTCCCTCCCGAGCCGATAGATCCCAGTGCAGTCCAGGTCGGCGGCGCGCAAGGGGGGCAAGACCTCGGCCCGTCGCCATTCTTTTCGGGTTCGCCTCTTCGCCCTCAGTATGTGTACACGACTCAGAGCCCCCCGCTCGCGCCCGTGGACCCGGCCAGCCTCCTCATTGCCCCGGGGTTCACCACAAGGCCGCCCATCACTATTCCTCCTCCAGGATACAACCCACTGCTTGATAATCTTCAAAAGCTTGATATCGTCCACGTGAATGCGGAGCTCAGTCCTGGCGGCGTTGATATTCCTTCTCCTCAGGATGCTCTTTCTGGCTTGGACACCGAGCTCCCTTTCCAAACACAGCCTTCCTTTCTGCCGAATCATTCCGAGCGCCCCCGACCCCTAGAACCACAGATTCCGGGGAAATCTCCGTCTGCTGTCTCTCCTGAAGGACCGTTGGTAATATCCAACAACACCCTCGTGGCGGAGCAGGGCGCCGCCCCCATCTTGGATCTGATTGATAATGATATTGCGTTTGACGTGCTCGATCAGATATCAGGTCTCAGTGCCGGTGTTTCCCCAGTGCCAAATGAGAGTGCATCTGGATTTCAGGGGTTGCAATCGTCTCTACAATCTTCACAACAACAATCGTACACTAGACGACCAACTCTACGACCTCAACAGTTCCTTCTAAACAAGCCTGTTTTGAATGTTCCTCAGCCAATAAACAGTGGATATTTCCCTCAAAGTCCGTCCTATCCTGTAAACCCTTATGATGCCAATTTGCGACCTTTTCCAAGTAACGGTGCACAAATGTCTCACTCTTTACCAGAGCAAGCCAACTTCCCTTCAAGAAACCCCAATACTCCTGTGAGTTACCCTAATATCCCAGCAGGATACCCAGATATTCGACCGGGTTATCCCTCTCCTCTCAACCCTCGTTGGCCCTATGGATATCCTCAGATACCTGGCGGTGGGAACCAACAGTTTCCAGGTTATGGAATCCCCTCTCTTGGTCCAAATGGTCAGTTTCCATATCCTCCGGCCCAGGGAACCGGCGATTTTGCAAGTCACGGAGAGACCGGCCCGGAGACCCAGCCCTCGGCTAGTGTTGCGGCCTCGGTCACGAACGAGGTCAGTTCGGCGGACTCTGCAGCGGAGGGCGGTGATGGTGTAGTTTCTACCTCGACAACGGTAGTAAAAGGTGGATCCTCTACCAGCAACAACAACTTCTATAGGCCTCGTCCTGGAGAAGGCCAAGGGACTTCTGTCGCTCTTCCTGCAGGAGGCAACCGCCCTAGTGAGGTAGAACCTATTCCTGCCAGCACACCGAGGCGGCCGCGGCCTCCCATCATCGTCGACGGCGTCCACAACCGGACCGCTACTCCTTCCGATATCTTCTCAGACTCTAATGTCAACGTAGCCTGCTCGCGCCGACACGGATGCCCCACCTTCATTCTGAGGAAGCGGCCGAGTGTGCCCCAGCCCGGCGACGACGGAAAACTCACATACATCTTCGACGAAGCATTGGAAAGGAGACCGAGCGGAAACATTAATATTGCATGCGATATTCAGGATGGATGCCCCACTTATATCATAAACACAACACCAGACCCGCAGCGAGCTGGCCTTTCCACCGTCGCTCCGCCAGCACCGATGGCCACGCCTGCGACATCTGCTCCACCTTCCCCCCCTCCTCCTGCGCCTGCACAGCAAGCTGCTACACCTCAGCCGCCCCTCGCGACGGCCATCAGCGAAGGGGAGCTCTTGGAGGCAATCGGTCTTGTGCTGGATCTGCTGAACCGGACTGAAGGACTCGACTTCGAGGACGACGCCGCGGGTCTGACCGGAGACTTCGACTACATCTTCCAGGGCGCGGGAGTCGAGGGCTTTGATGACTTGCTGTCCCACACCCCCGGGCTGGCGCCGCCGATCAACCCGCAGAACATACGGCCGGGCCTCCAGATCCGCCCCGTGGCCGTCCCCAGCACCACGCTCTCCCCGCTTGCGCAGCACATCGGCCTGCAGAAGCGGCCCAACTACGAGGTGGTCCGCGTCCCCGAAAACACTGTGCTCAATGCCCCGTCGCTGCCCAACCTCCTCGACAACAAACGCGTTTTCAGCGTGAACCCCATTCTGACGAGAGCGCCGGAGGACGCGAGCGCTCCCGGAAGTGGCCTCCTGGGTCAGCCGGGGTCTTTCGAGCTGCTGAGAAATAAACTGGTCCAGGCGCACCTCGAGTCCCTGCAGGAGAACGGGCTCGGAGTGACCTCCCCCGACGCCCTCGGGAGCCACGTTCCGGAGGTTGGAAGCTTGGAGGACGCCCACATGGGCGGGGCACTGCCCGCGGGGCGCCCGTCACTGGCGGAGATCCTAAACCTGGAGCCGCAGAGCATCCCCGACGAGCCGCCGCTGGTGCCGGCGCGCGAGCCGGAGGGCGACCATCACCACAGCATGATGCGCCACGTCATGGCCGCCACGTTCATGGGTCTCCCCATGACGACGGCGCTCATGACCGCCATGGGTGCTCCGGTGGCCCTCCTAGCCCCGCTCGGCCTGGCCATCCCTGCTCTCCTCACCATGGGGTTCTTGGACATCAACAGCAACCAAGGCCACTTCGGCCACCATTTCCGCCGCCCACTTCACGGCCACCACGCCCACGACCACCACCACCACGACGCGCAGCCTGCCCCGACAAGCGAAGCCTCTGATGTAAGTTGACTGAGCATGGAAATGGGCGGCCTGGGAGGCGCCTGGAAAGGCTATGGACTCCACACTGCACTCCTTCGCTCCGCGAGCAACCCTCAGTGCCACCTCGACCTCACTTCACCTCTCATGTCACTTCGTTTGGGCATAAAAGGTTCACTGCTTAATCGGAGTAGACGAATAATCAATTCGGTTGCAAATGCATGCGTTTTCTTTAGTTTACTGTAGTATATTTTTTCTCCCTGACGTGAGCATCAACCTATCCCCTACCACCTCTCTCTCTCACCTTCATGTCCTCCCTCCCTCGCTCCCACCACTCCTTCCTTCCCCTCTTCATTCTTCTCTCCTTCCCTTCAATCCTCTATCCTTTCTTTCCTACTTATCTCTTTCCCTTCCTCCTTGCCTATCCCCTACCACCTCTCTCTCTCACCTTCATGTCCTCCCTCCCTCGCTCCCACCACTCCTTCCTTCCCCTCTTCATTCTTCTCTCCTTCCCTTCAATCCTCTATCCTTTCTTTCCTACTTATCTCTTTCCCTTCCTCCTTGCCTTCATCCCTCCCTTCCACTCTACTCTCCTCCCCTTACTCCCTCCCTTTCTCCGTTCTTCCCTCCACTTCTTTCCCTCCCAACTTTTTCCCTCCCTCACTCCTTCCTTCTCTCTCTTCACTCCTTCCCTTTGTATAGCCTTTCATCCACTCTCGTTGATTCTTCCACAGTCTGGCCTCAGCGGCGGAGGAAGCGGCGGGGAGACGTCGACCACACAGGCTCCGGCCAACAGCGACACGAGGGGTAGGTGTTACATGCAGGCGAATTTCATTTGACAAAACTAAGCAAAAGCCAATTAAGAAGAGTATATGACAATCGCTCGTGGATGGCTGTTGAGGATCTGCATGTCTGTAACGTCTGTACATGGATCATTCGTTTCTCTGATAAGGCTTGATGATATTCCGCGGCGAATGATCAGTGGTCATATGATGCCGACAAGTTGTGTGGGCAAAATCATAATTTGGTTGTAGTCAATGGTAACTGGGAAACAACATTAGTTAATAAGAACATGTCCAAAGAATTACAGTTTAACCTACTTTTCACTGAAGATATTTATATTAAAACTGTAATTTCTGCTCTTTTCGATTGACTTCTCAAGGCGGCGGCGGCGAAAGGCTGAGAGACGGAGGCGGCTTCGCAGGGGCGCTGAGGCGCCTAGGGGGCGTCCTCCCCATGATGGCCTCCC